AAGGTCAAAAGTCCATTTCTTTCTTTTTTTTATACCTAAGGGTACTTTAGTCTTTTAGGAGGGATGAGAGCCATTTCATTTGGGATGCATTTAGGGTTCATTTAGGGTGCATTTGGACTCCAAAATTTCGGCCAAATGCTCCCAAGAAATCCTAGATGTCTTTCTCTCCCTATAAGTACTTTAGGTAACCCACCTTGTAGCCACTTTGGAAATTAATGAATTTGAGTGAGCCTTTGTGTCTCTTCATTCCTTCCTTAGTCCCCTAGGAACTCCATGGCCCCCTATCCTCTCCTCTCTAACTAGAGTGAGCTTGGGTCTTCCTTGGTTGGCCTTCATCATCCTAAGTGAAATGAGTTAACCTAAAGGAACTACACCACCAAACACACCATCCATTTCTCTCCTTTATTTTGTGCATCACCCTTCACCTTCCCAAACACCAAATCCTCCATTTTCATACCCTTGAAGAGATCATCCTTCACATCGTATCAACTTTGGAAAAGAGAAGGAATCAACCACTAGCTCTCATGGAGAAGTTGGTTCCATCAGGAACTCTAAAAATATTCTTTTAATAATGAATCTCAAACCTCACTTTATTATCTTCCTAAGTAGTATCAAAATAGTAGGTCCTTGGTTTTAATACTTAAATTCTTGTCTATTTACTATTTGTGACGATCGATACGTTTTTCAAAAGTTTAACATCGTTATCCATGTGTTTTCATTTCTTTCCCTCTGCTAAGTGCTCCTTGGCTTGCTTGGCATAACCACATCTTCCCCACAAGTAAAATAGGTAAAAGGATTACAAGTCTTCTTCCCCCCACATGTCCTTGAATCCTTAATTCCCCACCCCCAATCCAAGCCTTCTCCCCCCTCCCGTCCAAACCCACCCCTTCTCAACTCCCATCCAGAACCACCCCAAACTCGGCTTCATCCTCCTATACCACCTCCCAATCTTCCTCTATAAGACTTGCTCTTCTTCGATCTGAAAAAAAAAAAAAAATTATCAACGTCAACAACACAACATATCTAAACTGAAAGTGAAATTAAGCAAAACAAAAGCTCAAATAAAATTTAAAAATTACACATTATATTGGTTCGAAATAGAATATTGCAGTAAAAACCTTTTCTACATCCATTCAAATTAAAATTAATGTAAAATAACTATTTCAAATTATAAAATGTCACCACGTTATTTGTTATGTAAAACTTCTTTCTTTTTCATTTTTTTAGAAGAGATGCATTTTATTTAGAATCTAAAGCAAACAAAGAGTAAAATGAAGAATATGTTAAATTAAGATAATTCAAATCCAGTTGTTCACTTTCATAACCATGGGCTGAAAAGGACTATGTATATGTAATCTATGAGATATCGCAACTTCCAAAAAATAAAACAACATGTGGGGTTGCGTCTATCAACCTAGATCGCAAAAAACCCTAATGATAGATACTGATAGCAACCCTTCCTTGATGCAAGTCGAAGTCCCCTGGATCAAATTTTAAACCCATCAGGAGGTATTGAGCAATTGTGGACCATACATGACACATTCTCAGACATGCGCCCTTCTTTGAGCACATAAACCACGCAAAATCTCTATGACCCTATGCCATGTCTTCGTTTCTTTCTCGGATATATGTCATCTTTCACTCTTAAGGCAGCCTTTAATTCTCAAAGATGTGTACAGTACATTTGATTTTCCATCCTTTGTGGGAAAAGGATTTTCATTTGAGCTTTTCATTTATTACCGTTGTTTATACACTATTTCATTTAAATTATTAATTAATTTCATATATATTTGGACCCACAAGCAGAGTGACACATATGATTATATCCATTGATTCCTATTAACTAAAACTTCTGATTTCTATTGTGTTTTATTTCTTTTCACTGAAGACTGCGCTAAAAATAGGGTAGGCATTTTGTAATCCTCCCGCAAATTTTTAAGTGATGTCTTATCTTAATTTAATTTTTTTTAGTCTTATAAAAAATCATATATTTTTTTACCACTTATTGCTAGCTCTAGGGCAAAAGGGACCTATATAGAGCCAGACAGTGGGTAAGGAGAATCCGTAGTGTTACTATATAATAATAATTAACATAAAGGCAACTTGCTTCAGGACTACTGAAACTTTTTTCTGTGCCATTGTTTTCTTTCTTCTTAGTCTCAACCAAACCAAAAGAAACTAGCAATGCTAATTTTCGTATTTAATTAATTCCACTCCCCATATATAAAAAAGGAAGGAAATTAAAATAAAATAAAATAAAAATACAAGACAAATTTGAATTATTTTTTCCATAGTCACGAGACTCATTAGTTTAATTTATGTTTAAGGGAGAGAGAGAAGGGTGGCAGAGGAACTGAAGAAAACTTTCAAAACTCCTTTATCTTCCACCATATATCACTCGGCTAGCATCTATATATCAGAGTCTCAAACAGAAGTGTATAGTGTTTTAGTTTTACCTTCGGATCTGAAACAGTTTTTGCCCCCACTTCACTCCCATACCTTCATTTTATTTTTCTGTCTCTCTCTGTCGGTATCATGTAGGTCTTCCCCCACTAAACCTTCTCACTGATTCTCATTGATTATTATGTTCTCTATCTCGTTCTCTAACTCTTGAATACACATATTCTCTCTCTTGACTTTGTTGTGTTCCTTAACAGGAGACCAGAAAAGAACCCATTAGATCTTAACAACTTGCCTGATGAGTACTTTAGAGATGGCAAACAACTCCTCCAAGATACTTCCTCATCCGGTAAACCTTTTTTAATTAATGATCATATACCACATATATATATATATATATATATATATATATATATATATATTTTTTGACATTATACCACATATATTTTGCTATAAAAGTTCAAAGCAACATAAAAGTTATATTGTTTTATGGTTTTCTTTTTTGGGGGACATCCATAGATACCAAATCAATACAGCTTTCTCATCATATATTTGGAAACAAAATGGAAGAAACTAATACCACATGCATGGTTTATCATATTTCATATTTTAACACTCATTACAGTTTTTCTCTTCTATTATTTTATTTTTCCCTTTTGTCTTCCCCAGCCTCCTTTACCTTTCTTAAAACATGAAAGCCAAACACAAATAATAATGGAAAATGCATGAGAATGGAATCAAAGAAAAAATTAGGTTTTAATTAAATTTAATTATTTTATTCATGATTTGGGTATCGGAAAAGAGGGGTGTCATGGAAGTTAGTAACTTAGCTTTTTTTTTTTTTTTTTTTTT